ATCACAGCTCACAGCAACCTCCAACTCCTGGGCTCAAGCGAGTCTCCTGCCTCCGCCTCCCTAGTAGCTGGGACTATAGGTGCCTGCCGCAACGCCCAGCTATTTTTTGGTTGCAGCCGTCATTGTTATTTGGCGGGCCCAGGCTGGATTCCAACCCACCAGCTCAAGTGTATTTGGCTGGCGCCTTAGCTGCCTGAGCCACAGGCACTGAGCCTTTTTTTTTTTTTTTTTTTAAACAATGTCATTCCCCAGCTAAAACCCTCAAAGCCTGTGGGACCAGACCTGATCTGCCTCTTGCCCTCCTTTGATTCCATCTCTTGCCATTTCTTCCCTTGCTCAGTTCTTTAGCCATATTGGCCTCTCTCTGTTCCTGGAAACCCACTACTCCTGCCTCAAGGCCTTAAAATACACAGTTGTCTGTCTAGAAGGCTCTGCCCCCAGTACCTGCCCTGGCTGGCTTGTCATTATTCAGGCCTCAGGTCCAACATCCTTTTTCTTAGAAGGGTTTTCCTTGACAGCCCATCTAAAGGCTTCCCCTTCCTGCCACAGTTCCATAGTCTTCACTACTAAAAATTACATTGTTTACCTCATCCATGCATTCATCAAATGTTTATTGAACTCATAGCATGTGCCAAGGCACTGGGGATACGCCAGTGATTAAAGCACTGGGGATATATCACTGAACAAGATAAAGTGTTCCTCTATAACTGTAGCCCCTAGTACTAGCTTAATAAATGCTTGCTGATCAGAGAAATGGATACAAAATCTTATAAAGGGGAATTATTGGCCTTGTTTTCTTTCTTTTTTTTTTTTGGAGACAGAGTCTCACTTTGTCACCCTTGGTAGAGTGCCCTGGTGTCATAGCCCACAGCAACCCCAAACTCTTGGGCTCAAGTGATTCTCTTGTCTCAGCTTCCCAAGTAGCTAGGACTATAGGTGTCCACCACAGCACCCAGCTATTTTTAGAGACAGGGGTCTAGTTCTAGTTCAGGATGGTCTCTAACCTGTGAGCTCAGGTGATTCACCCTCCTAGGCCTCCCAAGTGCTGGGATTTACAGGTATGAGCCACCACTCCTGACCTTATTGGCCTTGTTTTCATGTGAGGTTATGACTTGTGTGTAATGGATAGGGATTTGAACCTGGACCTGACTTCCCTCCCAGTACCTCTCCCTTCTCCTATCCTCCTACCTCCTGACAGAGTCTCACATTGTTGCCTTAGGTAGAGTGCTTTGGCATCATAGTGCACAGCAACTTTAAATTCTTGGGCTCAAGTGATTCAGCTTCCTGAGTAGCTGGCATCTGCCACGATGCTTGGCTATTTTTAGAGATGGGGTCTTTATTCTGGCTCAGGCTGGACTTGAACTTTTGAGCTCAGGCAATCCACCTGCCTTGGCCTCCCAGAGTGCTAGGATTACAGGTTTGAGCCACCGAGCTTGGCCCTATTTTTTTTTTTTTTTTTTTTTAGACAAGCAAGAGTTTCATGGCCTCAGTCTAGCTTATAGCAAGCTCAAACTCCTGGGCTCAAGCAGTCTTTGAGCCTCAGCCTCTTGAGTAGCTGGGATAGGTGCCCACCATGCCTTGCCAGTTTTTCTATTTTTTTGGAGACAGAGCCACAAGCTGTCCCCCTGGGTAGGGTGCTGTGGCATCACAGTTCACAGTAACCTCCAACTCTTGAGCTCAATTGATTCTCCTGCCTCTGCCTCCCAAGTAGCTGGGATTACAGGCGCCTGCCACAACGCCCGGCTTATTTTTTTTGTTTCAGCCGTCATTGTTTTTTGGCAGGCCCAGCTGGTGGAATTTGAACCCATAAGCTCAGGTGTATGTGGCTGGCACCTTAGCCACTTGAGCCACAGGTGCCAACCCAAATTTTTCTATTTTTAGTGGAAACGTGGTCTTGCTCTTGCTCAGGCTGGTCTTGAACTTCTGAGCTCAAGCATTCCTCCTGCTTCAGCCTCCCAGAGTTTTAGGATTAAGGTGTGAGCTAATTAATTCTTGACTAATTCTGTTCTCCCTGCCCGGTTATGGATCCATAACAGAATCATGGAGTCACAGAGTGGGGTCAATGAGAAGAATCCTGGGCTGGGAAAGCAAGAAATCTGCTTTGAAGTTTTGCCTCTGCCATGTAACCTTGCAGAGTTTACTGTGCTTCTCTGGGCTTTTGTTGTTACATTGCCAAAGTGGGAAGAAAGTCCTTTGCAAAGTATGGGACTGAACATATATATGAGGGTTGTTGCTACCAGCCACTGTGATTCTGCTCTGGGTATCTCCCCAGCTTCCCAGTACTCTGCCCTGTGCCAGTCCTGCCTGCCCCTCCAGGGGCCTCTGCCCATAGCCTTGCCATCCCCACGGGCACCCCTGGGCTCATGCCTGACTGCTGATGGCTCTGAGCTCTTCAGTAGCCTGGAGGGCTTGGGGTGGGCACCATGCCAAGTCTAGTCTAGGAGCCCTTCCACCTACCATCTGGCGCAGGGACCCCTGCCTTAGCTCTGGCTCCTGAGTATTTAGATGAGGATGTGGGGGCAGGGTTAGTGATCTGCCCCCTGGCATTGAGGGTCTTCGGTCCTCGTCATATTCTCCACTGGAGCAGAGCACCCACAGACTCCAGGCCTCAGTTTCCACTTGGGGGGCGGGGTTGGCAGATAGGCGGGATCAGTGGCGAGGGTGGGAGGAGGACCTGGAGAGCAGCCCCTCCCCCTCCCCTGCCAGATGCCTGTGCTCTGCCTCCGCGGCTGGGCTGGAGGGCTCCACGTCCCCTTAATGCTGGGTTACCGCGGGACGTCAGGAAAGGCTGGGGTAGGGAACAGTTTCTAGCGGTGCCTGCAGTCATGGTGGTGTTCCTGGGCCGCCACCTCCCGGTGCTCTTTGGGCTCTTTAAGAAGAAGGGTGAGTGGGTGTGGCTGTAGGGGGAGGGGAGGGATCCTTGACTTTTCCCTTTGCCAGACCCTCTTGTAGAATGAGGGGTGGGGATCAAGGCCGGGAAAGAGTAATGAGGTGGGGCATGGAGGCTAGTAATGAGGACAGAATCTCCGCCAGTGCTGTTCCTTTTGTCCAGCGGCTTTGTGTGGCTGCCTTTGTGTGGGCTCTGGTTGTGCTTGGGAGGATGGATCCAGGTGTTTCTGACCTTGAAGCCTGCAGCCCTCCAAAAAGACTACTTCCCTGCAGGGCTACCCACACTTTACTGGGTGCAGCCCAATACCACAGTTTAGGTAGAGAGAGGGCTGCTTCTCCCTGGGTCATCTCAATGTGCAGGGGAGGATGGGATGTGGGGAGCAGAGACCACCCTAGCAGTGAGGAGCTTGGCTAAGGAAATCAGATTTAGAGCCTGGAGGTGGAGAAGTTTTGGAGGGAGGGGACTGTGCTCATTTCCTTCTCCTAGGAACAGGGCTTTCAGACCTGGATTAAGACATAGGGGCCAGGGTGGCTCCTGTGGCTCTGTGGATAGGGTGCCAGCCCCATATACTGAGGGTGGCAGGTTTGAACCTGACCCCGGCCAAACTGCAACAAAAAACTAGCCAGGTGTTGTGGCGGGTGCCTGTAGTCCTAGCTACTTGGGAGGCTGAGGCAAGAGTTTATTAGACTTTGTGGGGCCCGGAGGTCCTAGTCTGTGTGTGATCTAGGACTTCCCTCTGGAAACTCAGAGTTTAGTCCTGGCTGTGTTGACATCACCCAACAAACAGAGTTTACAAACAGAGGAGTAAACTCTGTTTGTTGGGTGATGTCAGGCAAAGCCTTTACTGTTTGAACCTGTTTCCCCAACCTGTAGAATCTGGAGATTGAGAGAAATGATCTAACCAGATCTGCTGGGGACTCTCTGGCTCCTATCTGTGGGATTCCTGTGGATTCCCTGGGGCAGGAGTTCTGGCTGCTAAAGTATGGGCTGAGGAAGGAGGAAAAGCAGGTTTCTGAACAGAAGACCCTGTTCCTGTGACATGGCCCTTTAAAGGGCTTGTTTTGTTCCTGTCCCTTTATAAGGTGCTACCAAGGTCACATGACCCTCTCAGTGCTTTTGCTTATGTTGTGGGTTTCATTTAAAGGGGGGCTGGGCAGTAAAATGCTGACACAGGCCCCCATCCCCTGGATTAGATGACCAGCCCCTCCATGGGCGGGGCTTGTAACAGGATCCTTTGTAATGGATCCCTGACTCCTCTGCACCAGGGGCCAGGGCCAGGGCCTCCAGGAGAGGGGGACACCTGGGACTGTTCCCCTGAGAGAGACTGGAGCTTCCTGACTAGGGAGGAGGGGCCTGGGTCCTCTTCTCCCCTCCCCTGCCCATCCTTTCACTAAGGGGCAGCCACATGGGTGAGTAGGAGACCTGTATCCCTAGTCTGCCCCTCTCCTGCCCCAGGGTCTTTTGGGAATCTGGTTATGACCCCATTAGCTTCTTCCTCTTCTTACTTTCTCATGGTGTCTTTCTCTTGGATCTGGGCCAAGGGGTTGTGTGAAAAGGGTGGTTTGTTTTCCTGTGAAGTGGGTTTGGGGGGTGGAGACGAGAAATATGTTTGCTATGAGTTGTATGTATGCTAGGGGTGTCTTACATGTGGCCGAGTGACGTGGATACACAGCTGTGTATATACTTGGGTACTGTTTGCATACATACAGAGTGGGGACTGTGGGTGTCATGTGTATGTGGGAGCAGAGTGTGCTTGGTGTTACCTGTGTGTATTTATACTTGGATGCCCTCTGTTTGTATAGCTCACCAAAGCCTGGGGGTGTTTTGTGCATATATGGTAGACCTGTATCCCCTGTGTGTGCTGTGGGTACTTGGATATATGTACACCTGGGTATAGTTCATGTATATACCTGGGGGCTGTGTGTATTAAGTGTGTGCCCCAGAACTGGGGGTTGTGTCCTGATTGGGGAAGTGGGTAGCGCATGTATGTTGTGTGCAGTCTGGGCAATAGGGGCGCACCTGTTGTGATGCCTGTGCATCCCCAAGGCCTTAGATACCTTGAGCCTCACTTTCTCCTCCATCCCATTAGGCTCTGCCAAGGCTGAGAGTGACAAACGTCAAAGCGTAGGACCTGGCCAGGGGCCAGGGTCTGTAGTGGATGAGCACCAGGACAATGTCTTCTTCCCCAGTGGGCGGCCGCCTCACCTGGAGGAGCTGCACACGCAGGCCCAGGAGGGGCTCCGCTCCCTACAGCACCAAGGTAACCTTGCTTTCCCTCTTCCTATCCTCCCCTTACCTCCCCTGCTATTCTTTCAGCTCTCAAGGTCAAGGGCCTAACCCAATACACCCTTCTGGTGTTTTCCAGAAAAACAGAAACAGAACAAGGGTGGCTGGGACCATGGAGACACGCAGAGCATCCAGGTGAGCCCTGTGCCCAAGCTCAGTTCTGACTCTCCTTGTCCCTCCCTGCTTGACCATTGGCAGGCAAGTGTCTTTGAAGCTTTCTGGGTCTGTATTCTGAGATGTAGGGCTAGACTAAGTGATCCCTGAGGGTGAGTCTAGGGTTGTTATAGCTGATGCTTGCCCACTGCTAGGTGATACTGGGGGGGACTCTGTTGAGTCGAAAGTCCCAGGGGGGAGCCCTGAGCAGGTGGCCCTACCTAGGCCAGGGCCTCATCTCCTCCTTCCTCCGTAGCTCTCCCGTACGGGGCCAGATGAAGACAGCATCTCCTTCTGCAGCCAGGCCACATCGTACACAGCTGAGAGCTCCACAGCAGAGGACGCTCTCTCCATCCGCTCAGAGATGATCCAACGCAAAGGTGTCTGCTCACCAGTGGTTTCATGGGCAGGGGAGAGGAGATAGTGGGCAACCCTCATACCCACACCTGTGGCTTTGTCTGCCTCCTAATCCAGTTTCCCTAGGCTTTGTGATTCAGTGAATTCAGGAAACACCTGGAGATTCTTGGTGCACAGTAGCTGTGTGACCTTGGTCAAATCCTTAACCTCTCTGAGATTCTGTTTAATCTTCCATAAAAATGAAGATAGTGAGTAATTATCTTATTGGAATGAATGCCAAATGTTTAGCATGCGGGCTAACACATAGTGATGTGATCACTAAATAATAAGCTATCACTAAATGGAAATTCCATTGTTGTCGGCTTAGTAGCCTTCCAGAATTTTTGCAGAAAAGAAGCCTCAGCTTTGTCCATACCTAGTTGATTGTGAAATCATTTTTTACAGAGCTCTTATTAATATTCTATAAAAGTAGTGTTCTAGGCTCGGCGCCTGTGGCTCAAATGGCTAAGGTGCCAGCCACATACACCTAAGGTAGCAGGTTCGAATCCACCCATGCCCACCAAACGACAGTGACAACTGCAACCAAAAAATAGCCAGGTGTTGTGGCGGGCACCTATGGTCCCAGCTACTTGGGAGGCAGAGGCAGGAGACTCGCTTAAGCCCAGGAGTTGGAGGTTGTGGTGAGCTGTGATGCCATGGCACTCTACCCAGGGGAATAGCTTGAGGCTCTGTCTCAAAAAAAAGAAAAAAAGTAGTGCTCTAGGGAATGTATCTCAAGTCCTCCTCCTGTAACAGTTTTTCTCCCCTGGACTGGTCCCCAGGCTCCACCTTCCGGCCCCATGACTCATTTCCCAAATCATCTGGAAAGTCGGGGCGACGGCGGAGGGAGCGGCGGAGCACCGTGTTGGGACTGCCTCAGCACGTGCAGAAAGAGCTTGGTGAGCCCTGGGTTAGAGCAGTGGTGGTGGGTGGGGAGCCCTGGCCAACTCCTCTCTGCTGACCCCACTTCATCCCTGTCCATCCCAGGCCTGCGGAACGAGCGTGAGGCACCAGGTACTCCTCAGCCTCCTGGTCCTCGGGATGCTGTGCGCATCCCCACAGTGGATGGCCACCCAGCAAGCCTGGCCTCAGGAATAGGGGCCCGAGTGTCCCTGCAGGCACTGGAGGCAGAGGCAGAGGCTGGCACTGAGACAGAGGCTATGCTGCAGCGCCACATTGATCGTGTCTACCGGGATGACACGCTCGTTGGCCGGTCTACAGGGGCCCGGCCCCCACTACTGACCCGGCCTATGTCCTTAGCAGTGCCTGGATTAACAGGAGGGGCAGGGCCACCAGAGCCTCTGAGCCCAGCTATGTCCATCTCGCCCCAGGCCACATATTTGTCGAAGCTGATTCCACATGCTGTGCTGCCACCCACAGTGGACGTGGTGGCCCTGGGCCGCTGCAGCCTGCGCACACTGAGCCGCTGTAGCCTGCACTCGGCTAGCCCTGCCTCCGTTCGCTCGCTGGGGCGCTTCTCCTCGGCTTCCAGCCCACGGCCCCGCAGCCGCCACCCTTCCTCCTCCAGTGACACCTGGAGCCACTCTCAGTCCTCTGAAACCATTGTGTCTGACGGTTCCACCCTCTCCTCTAAGGGTGGCTCTGAGGACCAGCCAGAAGGCTCTGTAGCAAGCAATAATGTGGCACCCCCTCCCCAGGGGGGCAGTGGGAGGGGGTCCCCCAGTGGGGGTAGCACTGCGGAGGCCTCAGACACTGTCAGCATCCGGAGTAGTGGGCAGTTATCTGGCCGGAGTGTGTCCCTCCGGAAAATGAAGCGGCCTCCACCTCCTCCCCGCCGGACCTACTCCCTCCATCAGCGGGGCTCTGTGGTACCTGATGGGCCCTTAGGGTTGCCTCCCAAGCCTGAGCGCAAGCAGCCACAGCTTCCTCGGCCACCCACCACTGGTGGGTCAGAAGGGGTTGGGGTAGCACCCTGTCCACCCACCTCCGCAGGCAGCTGGGTGCCTGGCTTGTCTCCAAGTGGCTCCCGACGCCCCCCACGCTCCCCAGAACGGACGCTTTCACCTTCCAGTGGATACTCGAGTCAAAGTGGCACCCCCACCCTCCCACCCAAGGGTCTGGCTGGTGCCCCTGCTTCCCCAGGAAAAGCCCAGCCCCCTAAGCCAGAGCGTGTCACTTCCCTCCGATCTCCTGGGGCCTCTGTCTCCTCTTCTTTGACATCTCTGTGTTCCTCCTCCTCTGACCCAGCCCCCTCAGACCGCTCTGCGCCACAGATGTCAACCATCCTGGGTGACAGGTTTGTCATACCTCCTCACCCCAAGGTGCCTGCTCCCTTCTCCCCGCCTCCCTCCAAGCCCAAAAGCTCTAACCAAGCTGCCCCTGCTCCAGCTGCTCCTGCCATAGTTCCTGGGCCTGTTTCCACCTCTGATGGCAGTCCCAAATGCCCTCCCCCTCCTCAGACATCCTTGACCCCCGCCCAAGAGTCTCCTATTGTCTCCAAAGACCATTCACCTCCACCATCTCCACCCCCATCTTATCATCCACCCCCACCACCTACGAAGAAGCCAGAGGTGGTGGTGGTGGAGGCACTATCTGCCCCTGAGACTGCTGAGGAGCCCCTCCAAGATCCCAACTGGCCCCCACCCCCACCCCCTGCACCTGAGGAGCAGGACCTGTCCATGCCCGACTTCCCCCCACCTGAGGAGGCCTTCTTCTCTGTGGCTGGCCCTGAGCCTGCAGGCCCCCCAGGCCCCCCAGACCCTGTCAGCTCCCTTACTGCTTCACCCTCCTCAGCTACTGCCTCTGTCCAGAGCCAGCCTCATAGCCCCCCAGACCCCCCTCCAGCTCCCCCGGCCCCACCTCCTGCTAGTTCTGTTTCAGGGCCTCTGGCCAAGCTCCCTCGAAAGGAACCAGTGGGCAGCAGCAAGAGCGGGGTGCACAGGGAGGATGCTGCGGGGGCCCCCCTGGTCACACCCTCGCTCCTGCAGATGGTGCGGCTGCGCTCTGTGGGCACTCCCACAGGGACACCCACCCTAGCATCAGGGCTGTCAGCACCCCAGAAGCCACTGCGAAGGGCCCTGTCGGGGCGGGCCAGCCCAGCGCCTGCCCTCTCCTCAGGGCTCCACGCTGCCGTCCGACTCAAGGCCTCCAGCCTGGCTGCAAGTGAGGGCCTTGCAAGTGCCCAGCCCAATGGACCACCAGAGGCAGAGCCACGGTCTCCTCAGTCCCCTGCCTCTACGGCTAGTTTCATCTTCTCCAAGGGCACTAAGAAGCTGCAGTTTGAGCGGCCTGTGTCCCCTGAGACCCAGGCTGACCTCCAGCGTAACCTAGTGGCTGAACTTCGGAGCATCTCAGAGCAACGACCACCCCAAACCCCAAAGAAGTCACCTAAGGCTCCTCCACCTGTGGCCCGCAAACCTTCCGTGGGAGTCCCCCCACCCACGTCCCCTAGTTTTCCTTGGGCTGAGCCCCTTACTTCTCCTCCCACCAATGGGCTCCCTCATGTGGAGGACAGGACTAAGGGGGAGCTGGCAGAGAATGGAGGTGTTGTGCAGCTGGTGGGCCCAGAGGAGAAGATGGGCCTCACAGGCTCAGGTACTGTGGCAGTGGTGGGTGCAGGTTCCATCACCGATGGTAGGAAATGGGTTTCTGCAGTCCTGTCGTTAGGGATTTACTTTTGGATCTGTAGGACTTTTGTGGTCTTGAGGTGTCTGGGAAGTGTAAACTGTCAACCCTGTATGAGCCACAGTGAGGATAAAGGTGTGTGGGGCTTGGGTGCCTAGTCACATTGAGAGTGTGGAGCAGTGACGCATTACAGTGTCAGAACATTTGGGAGGGGTCCTGCCCAGCATTGCTGGTACAGTCAGTAAATGGAAGGGCAGGAAAAGGTTGGGTGAGGGTGTGCATTGAACTTAGTGCCGGAATTAAGCTGGGAGGCCGTTTGCTAAGCGTGCCTTCCTTTCGCCCACAGACCCACAGAAAGAGCTGGTCTGACTACTGGCACTGCTGACCCATCCCAGGAATCCAATCTCTCAGGGACCTGAGCAGCTCCAAGGACGAGAGGATATGGCAGACACGATCTACACAATCTAATAGAGAGGGCGCCTGCAGCCTTAACCTCCTCAGCCTTTGAAGTTTATGCAAGCCTGGTGTTGCTCCTGTCCTGTCATCATCTCCTCTCATGTCTTTCCTGAATGGATTCATCTCCTGCTGCTTCAGTCTCAGCCTCTCCTTGACAGAGGTAGCCATGGGAGTGGGTGGCTGCGCCCCCTGCTGGTCTGAGGCCACAGTGGGACGAAGAACACCTTGCTTTTCTTTTTTTTTTTCATGTCCAAATCATGCACATACTGTAGTACAGAGTTAAAGCACTTTTGCAAAGTGGCTGCATGTCCATCCTCTAGGGTCCATGAAGCCACATTCCAAGGGCCTGTTTACATGGCAGCAGTATCAGTCCCCAGTAGCCAGCCCATAGCTTAGGACATATCTGTCCCCTCCTTCCCTATTCAAGTTTGCTCCTTTTCTTAGTTCTTGGAGGTGAGGAAGTTGTATTCCCACAGGCTCCCCCAAGCTGGGGGCAGGAGTGGGGCTGTGGAATTCCAAAGCACAAAAGGTGCAGTGGGGGCCAGCCCTCCTGTGCCTCAACTCACCAGCCACCCTCCTGCCTTCCCGTTCTGCCAGGTGCTCCATGCAGGGGATAAGTAGGAGATTGCCAGGGCCCAAAGGGGTGGGGGGAGGAAGAACCAGAGCGGAGGTCTGCAGGTCTCTGTGTCCACAGGAAGCAGAACAGAGTAGGGAGTCATCTTGGGGGGCACTGGGCAATGCCAAGCCTCTGCCTGTTTCATTTGATCAGGCAGGAGCCCATGGACTGAGAAAGCACTGAGGTGGCACAGGGTGGGGGACAACTGGCAGGGGAGAACGAGCCTGGGCAGTAGGCCTGGCCTTGGCCCCATGGACTTCATTCTCTGATCTTTCTCTACTTTTTCCGGTGCATGTCCTTTCTATAGCTGCCTTTTGGCACAAGTGGTTCCACTGGGGGGAGCTGACACTGAGTGACAAGGATGGGAAGCCAAAGGTGCATTTTACTCAACTCTTCCCTAGTCTATGAGGCCCACCCACTGTTCCTAGAGTAGGCTGGGTGGTTGTCTCCTAGTGTCAGCTTCTGTTACTGCTGTCTTCTCTAGGAATTTTAATCTTTCTGTTTGCAGCCTGGGTCACCTGTCTAGGTAAGCTGGCTTCCCACAGGCCCCCGTGGTTCCAGAGGTGGCTTAGTGCCTCCCTCCACTGCAGAGTGGCTGCCGCGCAGGGCCACCCTTTCTTTCTTGATCCTCTTTTTGCAACAGTGACTTGGGCTTGAGCCTGGCAAGGAACCTTGGTTTTTAGCTTCTCTATCGCCAAGGAGAGAGGTCAGCATGTCTCCTGGAAGAGCTGAGAACATAGGGGATGTGGGGTGAGGGCCCAGGTTCCTCTGGCCTCCTCCAGGGCTCCTTCAGCTTGTCACTACTGTCTTTTCCCTGCAGCTACAAACCAATGTCTTTCCCTCGCCCTGTGGGTAATGGAGAGGGGTTGCCGGGTGTTCACTGCACCTGCCCAGCAAGCTGGGGGGAGAGAATCATCAGTGAGCACTGCTCTGCTCAGAGCTTCTGGGCCACTTGCCCCCGGCAGCTGGGCCCCAGGACCTGGCAGCTGCTGGATGTGAGAGGGAACCTGACTTCTCTTTTCTCCCCTCTCCTCCAATGTTAGCGAGCTCATTATCCTCAGGATCTTCTGAGCTTGTTTCCCCACTGGGTGGGATTGAATACAAAGGAGAAGGGAAGATCTAGAAGAGGCAACCCTTCTTCATCCTCTGGGATAATGAGCTTGACCTAGAGCAAATGGAGAGACCAAAAGCCTCTGATTTTTAATTTCCATAAAAATGTTAGAGAGACATATATATATATATTTCTTTAAATTTTTGAGTCTTTGATATGTCTATACAAGCAACCGCATTCCCTCTGCCCTGAAGCCTGAGTGAGACACATGAAGAAGCTCTGTGTTTCATTAAAGGTGTTAAAATAATTAAATGATTGAAACCTGGCTGCGACTGTTGCTTCTTGATGGGGGAGGGGCAGGGCAGTGTTTAAAAGGAAAAATATCTGCTGCAAGAATTGAACCTAAGAGGGCCTGGTGCAGTGGCTCACACCTGTAATTCTAGAACTCTGGGAGGACAAGGTAGGTGGATTGCTTGAGCTCAGGAGTTTAAGACCAGCTTGAGCAAGAGCAGGACCCCTGTCTCTAAAAATATCCAGATGTTGGCTCGGCGCCTGTGGCTCAAGTGGCTAAGGCACCAGCCACATATACCTAAGGTGGCGGGTTCGAATCCCCAGCTCAGGCCCGCCAAACAACGATGGCTGCAACCAAAAAATGGCCAAGCGTTGTGGCGGGTGCCTGTAGTCCCAGCTACTTGGGCAGCTGAGGCAGGAGACTCTCTTGAGCCCAGGAGTTGGAGGTTGCTGTGAGCTGTGATGCCATAGCACTCTACCCAGGGGGATAGCTTGAGGCTCCGTCTCAAAAAAAAAAAAAAAAAATCCAGATGTTTGGCAGGGAGGCTGAGGCAAGAGAATCACTTGAGCCTAAGAGTTTGAGGTTGCTGTGAGCTATGACATCATAGCTCTCAAACCCAGGGTGACTAAGACTGTCTCAAAAAAAAAAAAAAAATTGAACCCAAGAGTGGGTCTCTTATGCTTAGTACTGCCAGAGGCAAAGTCAAGGTGTCTCTTAGCCATCTCTCTCCTCCCCTATTACAGGGTGAAAAGTCCAAGATACAAGCAACCCCAGGTTGGGTGAGGGGCCCACCAGGCTGTTTCACACTTGTGTTCTCTCCCAATGTGGTCCAGCTCACAGCCACATCCAGACACCCTTGTTCAGACATTTTATTTGAATTTATTATAGTGATGCCTAGTGATTTGATTGAGATGCCTTTTGGAGAACTACCCCACGCTCTGTGATGTGCCACCATTCCACCCCTGATGCTAACAATACACAGCTGGCTTAGGGAATATCCCAACCCAGCTAGATCAAGAGAAATTCCAAAAGCCTGGGGCAGTCCTCATAGTCCAGTGCCAAGCCTCAGGGTAGGCAGGGTTTGGGAAAACTGCCAACACCTGGGTAGACCACTGGCTTCTCTGTTTTCCCTTCTTTTTCCTTTTCAAATCCCACAATTTCCTGTTGGGGAGAAGCTATAATTAGTCCAGGTACTAGATCCTAGCTAGAGGCAACAGCTGCAGAATAATGCCAAGAAAACCTGGGAACCAATATTTTTCCAATTACAAGGACTGTGGCAATGTTTTCTACGAATTATATTGAAACCAGATTTTTCCAGCCCGCAGCCAAGGGAAGAAGGCAGAGGCGGACTGCCTGCTGCTGCCCAGTCCTCATGATACCCGAGGGAGTCAGTCTCTCACTGCAGCCAGACAGGATGATCCCACATTCTGAGGGGAGCTGCCCCTGAGTTCTGCACTGTTGTTTCAGTGTCCTGAGAGATGGACAAACAGGTGACGGATGAAGCAAACCGAGGAGACAGATGACTTGGGATGGTGAGAAAAAGGAAGAAGCTGTTGGGCTGGCTAGCTAATGTTCCCCCCTTTCAGTGATTTACAGGAAACGTGCCCCAGCTTGGTCATGAAGTTGGTTTGCTTCCACTGTGCGATGCATGCCTCAGAAATTCTGAAGTCAGCCTGGACAAGATAGACAACAAAAGAGATTTTAGAGATGGAGGAACCACAAGAAAACTTATACCACCAGTAGTGTAACCTGGCTCAGCTTTTCTAACACATCTGTTTGTCTAAAGTTTTCATATTGCTATCTTTTGATTTAAACTCATTTTAGGGATTTAGCCTAATAATAAGTGCAAAGACTTATGTATGCAGGCATGTGTCACAGTATTCTAATAGTGAAAACCCATGAACAATGTCTGATAAGGTGTTAGTTAGGTTATGATGATAGAATACCGTACAGCAGGCGTCCCTACGGCCCGTGGGCCACATGCAGCCTGCCTAGGACATTTATCTGGCCCACTGGGTGTTTTTGTCGATGCTGCCTGTCCTGCTTAGCAGCCGACTTGTCCCAGGGCCCACAGTCTGGCCCTCCAATGGTCTGAGGGACAGTGAACTGGCCTCCTGTTTAAAAAGTTTGAGGACCCCTGCTATACGGTGTGATTTCCCCCAATATTTAAGATGGAAAAAAATTTTCAGTCTTTGAGAAATGGAATAAAATTTAGTATGAATCAAACTGTTAAATATACAGTAGAACCTTCATAGTTGACCACCTCCCTACATTTACCACCTCATTTTCACAGACCAGAGGGCACCACGTGTATTCCATGGAAGTTCCTTATGTTGACCACCTCTACATGTTGAAAACCAGGAAAGAAGGAGTGGGCAAAGCCATCCACTTTATGCAGTAAGATGGAAAGGTCAACACCACTTAATTGCCCACTAGAAACTCTTTGTCTAATAGAGGAAATAAAGTTTTTTTTTTTGGAGACAGTCTTACTATGTCACCCTCAGTAGAGTGCATGGGATCACAACTCACAGCAAACTCAAACTCTTGGACTTAAGTGATTCTCTTGCCTCAGACTCCCAAGTAGCTGGGACTATAGATGCCTGCCACAATGCCCGGCTGTCTTTGTTGTTGTTAGTTGTCGTTGTTGTTTAGCAGGTCCAGACTGGGTTTGAACCTGCCACCCCTGGGGTATGTGGCTAGCGCCCTAAACACTGAGCTATGGGCACTGACCCGGAAATAAGATTTTTTTTTTTTTTTTGCAGTTTTTTGGCTGGGGCTGGGTTTGAACCCACCACTTCCGGCATATGGGGCCAGC